CCCCCCCTCCCTTCCCTCTCGCCTTCTCTTGGAGGTGAGTGTTCTTGGCCTTTTCGCATTGCGCTATCGTGCTGCACTTTCTCTCTCTCTCTCTCTCTCTCCCCACCAGACAATAAAAATACAATTGAACCTCCAGCTGGCAGGAGAGGGATGGCTATTGCTTGGAATAGGGGACAGTAGTGGCAGGATGAAAGTCATGAACAGGAGGGTGTTGTATTTTAAGGAAAGGGAGGCGCATATATGCAGGCGCCATCAAGGAGGAATGAGTGCGGGCGGAGTTGTTCACATGCACGGCCGTCACTCGATGTCCATGGAATCCATGGAATGTGAAGAGTACAAGTGGTGCTGAGGGGCGGACATGGGCGGCTGCTGCTGCTGCTGCTGCTGCTGCTGCTGCTGCTGCTGCTGCTGCTGGTGATGGTGGTGGTGTTGCCCAGGGAAGAAGGCCGGCGGCGCGGTGTTCCACCCGCCATCGGCCATGGGCCAAGCTGCCAAGGGCGGCACCATGGCGGCGGCGGCGGCGGCGGCGGCAGTGGTGGTGGCAGCGGGCGCGGCAACCACATCGGCCTCGGAGTCGGATTCCCCACTGCTGCTATTGTTGCTACTACTACTGCTGCTCAGTTCAACGATCCGGCTAGGATCATCGAGGAAGAGGTCGGCCGCTTCGGAACAGCGGAGATGGCTGGCATCGGGGGGGCCATTAAAGTGCGCGTCGAGCCCAAAATACCCCTCCGGCGGCACGACCGCGCGCTGGTATGGAACAATTGAAAGTTCGGCCGGAGTGCTACTTGACATAGGGGGGAAGGCCGGGGGCGGGGCGTGCTGAAGATGCGGATGTTGATGAAGAGCAGCGGCCAGGCTGCGTGGAGAGAAAAGACGCCCAGATGCAGACATTGCCCGGAGGAGACCGGCCGTGGTGTCGCACACGGTTGGCCGGAGCCCGGTGTCCGGGGCACTGGCAGCATCGATGTCGAGAGAGGGATCCGAGACGTCAACATCGCCATGGGCGGCTGCCCGCCCGCCGAAGCCAAAGGGCGCCTGGTAGACCACGAGCTGCTGATCGCCGACGGGCTCGACCCCACTGGGGGGGAACTGTTGCTGTTGGGAGATGTGCCCCTCCTCGGGCATCGGCGTCGCCAAGTGGGGAGGATCGCCCAGGCGGGTGGCACGCAGGCAGGATGCACGCGGGCGCTTGGCAAGCCCCCCGGACAGCCCGAAGTCCGAGCAGGTGGCGTCAACAGAGGCCCGGCGCTTCCCAGGCGGCGATGGAGCCACCGTCGGCCGGCCGAGGACGTCTCGTGCTACCGGAATGTGGGCCTGGTTTGGGGGGACATGTCCGGTGGCGGCCACACCGGCCGAGTGTCCGGGCGATCCCCGGGGACCGCCGGCAAGAGAGAAAAAGGAGCATGGCCGCTTGGCCTGGGGCCCAGGCTCACACCCAGGGGACAAGTCCGACCCGGAGAGATCGCTTTGTTCGCGAGAGCGCTTGAGCGAGGCGGAAGACCCAGTGCCGGGAGCTGGAAAGGGAGGCATCGGGCTGGGGGCGGTGAATCCAGCGCGAGAACACGGGAAGGAGAGTTCTGACACTGAGAAGGGAGGTGCCGCACTCAGCATGGCTGGCGGGCAGGCTGACGAAGGCGGATCGGGAGAGGGGGGCGCCGGGACGCGCGGCAACTGACGGGAGGAGGCCCGAGGCGCGAGGGAGAGGTGAGGGGGGGAGGAGGGGCAGGAAAGCGAAGGCAAGTTCAGTGTGGCGCACATCACAGTCGAGCCGAGGTGGTTTTAGCTTGCGATCGAGGGATTGATCTTTTCCGGTCTCTTTCCGAGGGCCAGAGGGTGCAGAGGGAGCCCCGCAGGGGGGGGGGGGGGGGGGGGGAGCCGAGGAGAATGCAGGCGAGCGGACACGGGGATCTCGCGTCTGTTGGATGGGAGACACTCTCGCGCGAGTGGGGGTCCCAAAGGCAGCACGGGTGCAGGCGGGCGAAAGTGGCGGGGAGGGGGGGAGGGGGGTATCATGATCAGATGGCGGGCCAGAGGGCATCCCGCCCGGGAGCGCCTTATAGAGGCCCCAAAGGAGGGGCCGCAGACGGGCCCTGAAGGCGAGTGGCGGCAGCACAAGTGGGACTGCGCCCACAGGGGGCATTCGAGGTGGTCCACGCCCGCGCCGCGAGGGTGGCCAGCATCAGAGCACCTCCCGCCGGGTGCTCCCTCGGCGGCTTGTAGCTCGATGTGCTGCTTTTGTCCCTGCGCCCTGGCGGGGGGGGGGGGGGGGGCGCGGCCCCTACGCCTGGCGCCTCGGGAGGGGGCAGCGGAGTAAAAGACCTTCGCCCGCCACCTACGGCCCGCCGCCCCCCAATCGCCACACAAGCAGGAAGGCCGGATCCGCGGCCCTCAGCCAGGTGGGCACGAGGCGCGCATGCGGCGCCCGGATCGATCTTGGCTCTCCCCTCGGCGCTGGTCTAGAAAGTTCCCGTTCTCGGATTCCCCGTGGCTCGGTTGATCGGCCGGGCGGGGGTCTGGGGGGGGGGGGGGGCCGAAGGGGCCGGACCGATCGTGCAATGAGCATATACATGTGTTGGGCGTGTCTCTCTTTCCCCGCCCCCGCGGGAGGGATCTCTGGGCGCCGGCCCGGGGTGTTGTGCCGGCCGCTTTCCTGCTCTTCCGCCCCTCCGTCTGCGACATCCCCCCCTCCCGCCCCCGAGGTCCCGCCCGTTCACCGGGCTTCGGGAAATTTCCACAGACCCACATTCGCACCTGCGCATGTCTCCTCTCTGGTGGTGGCTGTTGCTCCAGACGTCCCCCCCCTCCCCCCCCCGCGGTCACCACAGACTCGCACACAATGGCAAGGCCAGAGGGCTCAGCTCTCTCCCTCCCTCTCTCTCATCATCGTGCGTGCGGCCCCCCCCCCCCCCGTTTCTCGCCCTATCCCCCCAGGGGGCTCGGGTCAGCCAGGTAACAGCCCAGCGCCGGTCCTGCGTTGGCACTCAATAGTCGCCCGAATTGGCGTGCGTCGGCAGTTTGCACCCCTGCGCGCTCGTTTTACACACATTAAACCCGAGGAAAGGGGAAGACCGCAAGAACAAGGACAGAGTGTATTATTGGTTGCAGGTGTGCGCGTGTGCGTGCGCGCGCGCGCGGGCAGGGATGATGCCGGGGGCGTGTGGGGGTTTCGACACATACTCCTCCTTCTCCCTGAAACTACCTGACGCACGCCGGGGGGCGACGCCGTTTCCACCCGCGGCTGGAAGAGAGAGGGCGACGGAGGGGGCGGGATGAAAGATCACATCCGGATCTTCCTCTCTCGCGGGCCCCCTCTCCTCCTCAGATGGCCGTGCTGCCGGAGTTGTGGAGAGGGGAGCGGTGCAGGGGGAGGTGGCCGGACTCCAGGGCGTCGGAGGGGAGTGGAACCGCGCCGGCCGGGGCCACCGCATTATTCACCGATCGCGATCGCTGACGCGGCGTGCCTCCCCGGCCGGGGGTCGCCCCTCCGCCGGCCGGCGTCGGCGAAGACCCAGCCGGCCCGCCGGCGCCGGGAGAGTGGGATCCCATCAGCGACTGGGGAGCCAGCGAGGTAATCAACTCTACGAAGGAGGCCCGACGGGAGTGCCGCGTTGGGGGCGGCGTCGATACGGCCGGCGCCGCCAGCAACCCGGGCGACCCGATGCTCGGCGTACAGGGCCGACTTTCGACCGGCTGCTGCTGGGGCGCCGTGCATTCGGCACCGGGGGGAGCCGACGAAGAAGAGCACGACAAGGAGGAAGAGGAGGAGGAGGAACAAGACGAGGGCGAGCGCGAGCTGGAGGGCGACCGGCCGGCACGCCGGGCGGACGAGGAGGAAGAGGAAGAGGAGCAGGAGGAGTAGGAGGAGGGCAATCCCGCCGCGGGACACGATCCCCCGGCCGGGGACCTCCCCGCCTTGGCTGGTGGGACACGACGGCTTTCGGTGGCCAGCGAGGCCGCCAGCGCCTCAATGAGAGCCGGCTGCATAGACAGCGCTTCGACCAGGGAAACAATTTCACCGCCAATCTCCTCCAACGTCGTCGAGGCCGGCGCACCCGGGCCAGCTCCGAGAGACCGTGACCGGCCCGATGCGATGGGCAGCGCTGATGGCGGCTTCCTCGTCGAAGCCGAGCACCCCCCGGCCGCCATGCCGCCGGCTGACACGCTGGAGGAAGACCGGCGAACGACCGGCTGCAACGGCGGCAAAGTGGCCGGGCTCCCGAGTGCCGGCGAGCCAGGCGCACTGGCCGGCGGCGAGGCTGGCAGCGAGGGGGTCGACATGGCCGAGGGCGAGGGCGGCAGCGGGACCGGCGCATATGGTGCCGAGGCAGACTTGCGGCCCTGCGTGGCTCCTCCCTCGGCGGGGGCCGGCCCCCTCGCGGGAGCCTCCCTGGCATCGGGCCTCGAATCGGCCTCCCCGGCGGCCGGCGGCATGTGCGCCAGCAAATTGGACACCGACGGCGACGTGGGCAAACGCGACACCGCATCGTAGGATGTCTGAGCCTCGGTCATCAGGGCCGCGCGCGCCTTCGGCGTCAGCTCCATCGGCGTGCAGGCGGCCTTGGTCGGCTTTAGCCGAGCCACGGCGAAGGCCGCGGCCAGGAAACTGCTGGGCTTGATGCGCACCTGGCCGCTGCTCTTGGATGAGACCGACTCGGCCATTTGCTCGTACTGACTATCAAGCCACTGGTGCACCTTCTGGTCACCGGCCGGCGGCTGACCTTCGGGCAGTGCCTCCACAAGACCATCATCATGGCTGCTTGGGGTGAGGATGGCGGCCTCCTCGGGAGCATGCCCCAATGAGGGAACCTCCCGTGTAAAGACACGCCGCGAGGTGAAGGCCGATGGCGAGCAGGCACAAACTTGGGTCTTGGTCGGGCAGCAGCAGCAGCAGCAGGCGATCGCCAAAGCCGGGGAAGGCTCCGCACCGCCCTCGTACGCCACGCGGAAGGAGTTGTCAGGCTCTTGGATGTCCAGCACCAAGTCCGACAATTCGGCCCGGAACATGCGGCTGCGCCGGCGAGAAATGCGCCTCGAGCCGGATGACCGAGTGGAGGCAGGGGTCGACGAGGCCAGGCGCGCAGCCGGTGCCGGCCCCCCTCCCTCGGAGTCGGACCCCGAGTCTGACTCGTAGTCCGAGGTGAAGTCCGACGAGGCGGTCAGACTGTCACAGGACGAGGAGGAGGTAAGGAGAGAGTTGGAAGGCCGAGGGACGGCGCGCGCCATCGGGGGGATCCTTTCGCCGGCATCGCTGTCATCATCGTCATCGTCGTAGTCGGAGAATGAGTCATCGTCACTGTCAAAGTCGGTCCAAAGCGAGGACGAGTCCGACAGGGAGCTGTCCAAATCCGTCGACAGGAGATCCACCGTCGACGAGCAGCAGGAGGAGGAGGAGGCGGAGGAGGAGGCGGCGGCGGCTGATGGCGGGGACCGGGGGGATGGTGTGGGGGCCGCCTCGTCGTCCGTCAGCGAGGAGTGTGAAGAGTTGCGTCCGGAGGCCGAGGCCGAGGCCGAGCCCGGCCGCCGCGCGAAGACCGAATCCTGCGATTGCGATAGCCCGGCCGCCGAGAGGGCCAGAAGGTTGCTGGTTGTGGCCGGCGCGATGCCATTCGAAAGGGTGGCAATCGCCGGAGGGGGTGGCACCCGATGCGCGTGGACTTGCGACCGGCGCCGCGTCCGGACGATGTCCCCATCCATCGAGGCCGACGACACCAGCTCCGGCATGCCGGCGGTCGAGTCCCCTGCCCGGCGGTCGAGATCACTGGCCGCGCGGGTGACCGTGGACGAGTCGCCGACGCTGGCCCGGAAGCTCCCGCGCATTGGCCGAGTCCACTGGTGCCCGCCGAGGGCATTGTGCAGCCGGGAAATGACAATGACCGCGGCATTGTCGGCCGACTCGCGAACATATGCCTCGGCCAGGATGGCATCGGCGGCGGCCTGTGCACAGCGCGTCAGGGGAACCCCCCCAGGGCCGGGGGTTTGATCGGCGGCAGCCACCGGGGCCCGGATGTGTCGACGAACAATGTCAATCACCTCGCGCGGCGAAAGCACCGACCAGACGCCGTCACTTGCGAGGACAACGAAATCCTCCACCTGTTGTGGGAGAAAATACGAGGAGCGCCGGGAGGCCGGTCCGAAGCATGACCAAAGAGGCCCAAAGGAGCGGGCGGGAGCGGACCCGAGCGGGAGGGAGTGGAAGGGAGCGTGAGAATACAGCAACAGCGTGGGCAACGGGGAAAGGAACAGGGACCCGGGGCCGGGGGGGGAGAAGCCGGGGCCGAGGGACGTGACGTACGCCAGTCAGGGCCAGGGAGTAGATGTCAGGCTGCGACGAGACGTAGGGCGTCAGGCGGCTGTCGCCAATGGCACGGGAGACCAGCAGCTGGCCATTGACGCGACCATTGACAACATTACCTATGTCGTTGGGTGTGGATGAGGGACGCGGGGG